TAAAAAGAATTTGTAACAGCAAAAACGATTTATAGTATGATTCAATGAGTTATGCACACACTATAGCCGTGCGTTCTTGCCGAACAGAATTGAGCTTTGTCAGTTTATTTTCCAAATTGCTCAACCGACAGTGTTTATGCTTTCTATCCCTGGCCTGGATATCTGTAATGTGTAATATTTAATAGCGATTTTTATTACAGCGGTTCAGATGGACTGAATGATTCCTATTCGAAATTTTGTCTCTTGTCAGTTTAATACATGGGTTATACAGAGTAATCCATCGTATACAATATCGACATGAGTCAAGATGTAAGCAGAAATTTAGGTATTGCGCTCATCTAACAATAACAATAGCATATATGACGGTCACTTTTACCAAAAGATGTACTCGTTCACTTTATGCGAGCTTGTCCATCCTAACCCAAGAACCTTTTTAACGTCTATTCAGCAAATGAAGTCTCAACATTTACTTTTCCCCAATTATTTTCAACATGTAGGAAATTCGAAGTTATGTAAATTTGAGCAACAACGTTACATCGCAACACAGCTATGTTCTACATATCCAGATCGTGAGTATATTGTATGTAAAGAAACTGTTACACTATCTCTATATATGTGTTTTGCATATGCTTGTTATTGAAACAGTTATACCGGATTAATGTCTTTCACTCACTTTTGTATAGAAAGACGACCAGCCAATATCGTATATTGTTACAACTGTTCATTCATTTATTCATTCGAGTTACGATTACACGTAACACTAAATATTTCAGATTCTAGTAAACACCACAAATAAAAAAATGAGTATTTTATGTGCTATTTACTTGAACCAACACAATATATTATAATTGCTTTCGATTTTAACTACAGAAGGTAAAACAAACTTTAAAATGTGACCCACATATACGTGCAAATAGATAATACATAACAAAAACGAACATTTCATACTAGAATTCATAGCTATATTCTATAATAATGGTAGTGATTTAACATAAATTAAACATACTACATAAACAATGGTCAAAATTGGATGCTCATATTGTGACGTATTTTAAGGATTAGATACTAGTAGAACGTTTTTTTAAATGCTTACCAATCATCTACATTTTACTGGACGTCAAGGCATTGGTAACAGAAGATCTCGTGCTTATTCGAAAATGCAGCAATCCAACAATACATTTATCGATATGCAAAATTAGTGTATATTCTTGTTTCAATTCTGATATCAAAATGATCAATAAGTTGTCGGCGTCAGTTTTTTAAAAAAAATACACATTTTGAAGATTTGGTTAACTGAATGTAAAAACTAACAACATATTGCTGTTGATGTTTATGTGTTATTGCGCATTTCAAGAAAAAAACGGTGGTACTATCTTCAATAAAGAGTTTATTTACTTAGCGAATCACGTTACCACATGAATGTTGCAACAACTATAATATCCTGTTACCATAATTATATAGTTTGATATAGATTGAAAGAATTCTTCTATGAAAATAATTGTAGTTGTGAAATGTACTTCCCATAAATGTATTTATTCAACATTCTCCTTTTGAGCTCAATGCAGCAAATAGCACCAAGTAGAAAACATACAATGCTTGGTCGAACACATTTCATATTACACACGACTTGGCAATTGGTATTTGTAAGTCGGTGGTTCTGGTCAGTTGTCCTAGTGCCATACCTGCCGACCCCGAATTATTTGGTTGAATCTCTCTGTCCGACATAGTTGACTGAGTACCTTGTAATCCATGTGTTTTCCTCACCTTGTGTCCACAGCCGACAAACCAACTATTG